TAAGCAATGAGAGTATGGAGACTGACTCTAGTGGCCCAGACAGCTACCAGGTGACTAATGGGGACGCTAATACATGAAGATGAACACCCTAGGCACAGCAATGATGCACACCCTGGAGGATGTGCAGAGGGGTTCAAGGTTTCATCACACTGCTCATAAATTGATTTATTTCTAGAACTCCCCAGTTATATTTTAAGAACAAGGTTAGCTAGGTAACTAAAACTTCAGAAAGCAAAACCATGCAAGCAACTATATTTGGCATGTAATGTTTAAAACCCTTGACTTCCCCAAATTAAAAGAACAATTAAGATAGGGGCTTAAGAGATGACCCAGCAGTTAAGAATGCAAGCTGCTCTCCTAGAGGACTTGGGTTCAAATCCCAGCACACACATGGCAGCTCATGGCTGTCTGTAAACTCTAGTTCCAGAGTGGGGGGAGGGGGAGGTCTAATATCTTCTTCTGACATCTGATGTATAACGAACAATTGTCTTGATACAACAGAACCTCCCCCCCCCCCGTTAACCCTGCAAAAATTTGTCAAGAAAGTAATTTTGGAAAGACCTTGGAAAGATTGGAGCTGGTTGCCAGGGGAACCAATTAGAGAACTGAAACTCAGTCCCACTCCACCCCAACTTGACCTCCAAGAAAGAAGAAGAGCTGGAGATAAGGTTCAATAACCAATGGCCAATGATTTGTTAATGTATAAGTGAGGAATTTCTGCAGAAAAGCCTAAGGACCCGTTTCAGAGCAACCAGGCTGTTGGAATTAAAAGGTGACACTCATGAAGATATAAGATCTGTACCTTCTAAAACACCTTGTCATCTTGGATTGTTGTTATGGTAAATCTTTCCCTCAAAAGCTGCCCAAGCCCTACCACCACGTGAGCGGTCTCCACCAGCCCCCTGAGTTCTGCCCGCCGAGTTAGGGCCCAAATTAATACACAGAAATTTGTATTAGGTACAAATGCTGCTTGGCCAATGACTAGGATTCCTCATCTGCTAGCTCAGTCTTAATTATCATAAATCTATATATTTTATAAGACTTATCTTATCAGACACCTTCCATTGGTGTCCTCCCTTGCCAGTCGATCACATCGCACTGCTGGAGCAGGAGCCAAGGGGAAAAAAGGGGTACTTCCTGGTTGTCCTTCCTTAAATATGAGTCTCCCTGCTATGTCACTTCCTGCCTGGATCACCACTTCTCTACTACATTTCCAAGAATCCTCCTCGACTCCTAGTCCTGCCTAACTTGCTGCCTCATTGGCCAAACAGTACTTTATCATCCAGTAAGACAAACACATACACAGAAGCACTTCCCCCATCAGGTTGTGTTCTTTTTTAGTTTAATATTATTTTATTTTATGTGCATTGGCATCAGATCTCCTGGAACTGGAGTTACAGGCAGTTGTGAGCAGCCATGTGGGTGCTGGGAATTGCGCCCGGGTCCATTTAGAAGAGCAAACAGTGCTCTTAACCACTGAGCTAGCTCTCCAGCCCTGATTATGTTCTTAAAAAAAACAACACTAATTTAGAAAGTAAACTGTTTGCCTCCTTTAGTAGAATCATTGTAGCAAATAATCAAACCCATGGGTGGGTTTGTAGAAACTTCTGACATATATTCAGTGCAAAGCACCAATGAAAACAACAGATATGCAATCTTTGGCTAAAGTAGGAGGGAACAGTCTTGGGGGACTGAGACCTGTCACCTGAGGGCCCTGTGATAATGCTGTCACAAGCTGTCCTCTGACCTCCATGTGCACCATTGCGCACTTTCACACACACGCACACATAATAACTTGTTTTTAGACTTTTAAAGTTGCTGATAAGAGATCTTACATTCTATGTGCTTATTTTTATAGATGAATTGCTATTATTTGCTTTCAGCTTTTTTTTCTATTTATTTTTTATCTATTTATTTTACATCCCAGCCAAAACCTCCCTCATCCTCCCCTCCAAGCCCCTCCCCCACTCACCCTACCCTACCCTCCAATGCCCTCCTCTTCTATCTCCATCCAGGAAAGGGCAGGTTTCCCATGTGTATCAATAAAGCATGCCATATAAAGTTGCAGCAAGACTAAGTACCTCCCCTCGTATTAAGGGTGGGCAAGGCAACCCAGTGCAAGGAATAGGGTCCCAAAAGTCTGCTGTCACAAAAGGACCAAGCTGCACAACTGTCACATATATGCAGAGGGCCTAGGTCATTCTCAGGCAGGCTCCCTGGCTGTCTGTTCCATCTCTTCGAGCCCCTATGAGCCCAGCTGAGTTAATTGTGTGAGCCTTCCTGTGGTGTCCTTGACCCCTCTGACTCCAACATCCCTTTCCCCTCCTCCTCTGCAGGATTCCTGAACTCCACCTAATGCTTGGCTGTGTGGGTCTCTGCATCTGCCTTCATCAGTTGCTAGATGGCACCTATCTGATGACAATTGGGCCAGACATGCTTTCAGCTCTTAACATGTTTCTTTTCTTTTTCTTTTTCGAGACAAAGTTTGTCTGTGGCTTTGGAGGCTGTCCTGGAACTAGTTCTTGTAGACCA